TATTATATCCTTTAATCCCACTGTACTTAAATGGCATGTGTATACACATTTAAACATGAAAAACTATTACAAAATTATAAGATAATATCACATGGATAAACAAAATTCCCCGTCAAAGCTTTCAGTCTTATTTCCATCTCACACTTTTTCCTCTGGGTACATGAGATTGATATGTGTATATGTACATTTATTGACATGTCAATATTGGGCTTGGAACAGTCAGTCATAAATCTGTAGTTATATTGACCACTGCCACAATGACGTACTGAATTCTGTCTCGTTGCAAAGTGCTGCACTAGGTGCTATGTGAAATACAATACTAACAAGTCCTCTCCCCGACGTGAAGAATAAAACTCTGAGTATCAACTCCTTTTTTTTTCTCCTTCAGTTTTTCACTTTTCCTGCTTTGAGGAAAAAGTAAGTTCCTTTAACTTCAAGCAGGAAGCTGGAGGCCAGGGAAGACATGCTTCCTTTGGGGCAGGGGTTATTATCAGGAGAGATGGAAAAATCAGAATTTGAGGGAGACTTAGAAAAGTGAGCTTCCACAGGGTGAGAAAGGGTGAAAAGGATATTCCATATCTGACTGGAATCAGCATGTGAGGAGATTGAATTGGTTAAGGACCGTAAGAAACTAGAAGATTGGAAGTCTTACAAGGATCATCCTGTAATAGTCAACGTGGCAAGGCACCATGGAAGGTTTTCACAACAGGTGACAGTCGAGGCAGGACTTATGGGTAGTCACTGGGTGTGGTTAGCAGGAGAGTTTGGAAGACGTGTTCGGAGATTATTTTTATAACCCTTGTGAGAGGTCAGCAGAGCCTAAGTGGTGATGACAGTAAGATGACGGATCTAAAGGATTTTTCTATGAACATGCTCTGACCTTCAAGCTCAGGTAGTATCTTGAGCAATGAGATGCCAAGCAGTTCAAATGCCTAATCTCTGAAAATAAGAGCTCAGTGATGGGTTGTCTGAAATCATTGTTAGAATCGTGGAGTGTCAGAGTTAGAAAGAAACTTAGGAATCTTCTAGTCAAGCCTCATTTTGCAAATTACCTCATCGGGTCAATAAGCAGGTTCAAAGAATCAAATAGCTGGTTAAAAGTGGCAAAGATAGTGAACAGCTGGGATAAGATACGAAAAATCAGATCCCTTGGCCCTGAGAGGTGTGGGGCCCTCTCCGAACAAAAACACAGTTTTAATTGTTACATCACCAAAGCTTCTTTTGCTGCGTTTTATTCACCCTTTATACACTAGAAGTCCCCTTTTAGTCTCTGACTCTAGTGCTCTCTTGCCGTCCTACTGTAAAAACAGAATCTTCTGAGCTTTCACTCACTCTCTTGTACCTTTATGTGGAAGCATCCAGTCATGAACTGTCTCCTCACACCAGACTTATCCTAGGCCCCAGGGTTCCAAAATAAGCTGCATTATTTCCCTCCTTTACTCAAGTTCCCCAGTTGATTTAGTAGGTCACCAGTAATACACCCTAGAAACCTGCGAGACACCTTGTTTGCTACCTAACTGCCTCTTGTATCTGATGTCCCCTTTCTGGACTACAAGCCGCTGCCCAGGAGTTCTGTCTCATTCACCTGGGCTACTGGGCTTCCATACTTAGCGAGCTCCCACCAATCGGCTCCCCTCCAGCCCATTAAGTTCACAGCGTCTTTCAACCGCCTTCTTCACATCCATACATGTTTGAACCCTTCAGTGTTCAAATGATTTCCTACTTGAATTAAACAGCCTCCTGAGAGGTTAGCTGAACTTTTTTCTGTAAAGGCCTATAAGGCAGTAGCTATGTTGGTTTTGAGGGCCACACTCAATTCTGCTGTGCCAGGTCCGTACACAACACATAAAGGATGATAGTGACTGTGTACAATAAAACTTTATTTAAGGCTGTATTATTTTTATGTGTCACCAAGTATTACCTTTCTTGTGTTTTTTATTGTTGTTGTTCCAGTTGTTAAAAAACAAAACCGTTACTAGAATCATAGAATCATACAAAACCACACCTAGCTCATGAGTCAGTGGGCCAGGTCAGGTCTATGGGCTGCGTTGCTGACTGTCCTCACCGGTCTTCCTGTCTCCCACACACCCACTGCCATTGCCCACTCCCCACGCCAGGACGTGCTCCACAAGGCTCTTCCTCTGGCCTCTGTTTCCCTCCCCAGACTTATCTCCTCACCTGGTTGTAGAGTTTGTGTTCTTTGCGATATGTATGACTTTGCATATACTGTTCCCTCTAACTTTGGGTCCCAATTCCAACTTTTTCCACTTTGAGAACTCTACTCATGAATTCATTAATCAATTTGCTACCAAACATTGCAGTGTAGAATGCTTAGATGCTTCTGTGGTAATCTCTATTCAGGACTACTATAATGGCATTAGTTAGATCTGGCCCCTTTAGCAGAGTGTGAGCAACTTCAGGGTAGGAATGAAATCTTATTTTTTTTTTCTCTACACCTGGAAAGACAGTAGATGCAAAATTAACAAAATTAAAAAAAAAAAAAACAAAAAACCAAAAAAACGCTATCTTAATCATTTGGGTCCTTCAACTTTCTTTCCCATTTCTCCCTTCCATTTTTCTACTTTCTATTTTGAAGTCCAATGACACAATATATGAGATAGTAAAAACGTGAAGAATCATTCTTTCAATTTGATCTACAAATTTCTATTCTAGTTTTAATTTATTTTTTCCCTTGAAAATTTGGATCATTTTGCCATTACTTTGTAACATGGCTTTAATTTATAGTTATATACTTTCAATAGAATATTGAATATTCTATTCAGTATTCAGAATTCTATTCAGAATATGCCATTCGAAATACTGAAATAAAATCAAATCCCTGTGTGGTATTAATTTCAGCTGATCTATACTGGAAAAGACAGACATAGCGCTTCTCGGTCACAAGCTAAAATACACTAAATCAAGAAAGAATGGTGAGGAAATGCAAAAGAGAAACCTCCCAAGAGTACGTCAGTAATATTTAATCCAATAGCCATGTCACATTTTTAGTACAAAAGAAATATACTCATTTCCTTGCATTTTTAACTGTCATCTTATATTTATGAATGGGTGTTTTCTAAAATATAGACACACACTAAGTGAAAAGGTTTACAAAAGAGTTCACTCACAATATAGATCACTACATTTTATTTTCTATAAAACTAGGTTTAAATTTTTGTAGATTTGGTATAAATAAAGGGCACTAGAAAAGCTCTGTAGGTAACTAAGCCAAACCATTTTTCTTAAGAACAAAGGAATTAACTCACACTACTCCGTTTTCAGCAATTACTGCATCTTAATATGCTCTACTAGCAAGAAACTGTCTTGTCAGATAGTACAAACTGATAATGCACAAGAAAACATTCCACGAACTGACTCTGGAAATTAACTCTCTCAGTAAGACAGAATGGCACAAGAGGCAAAACAGCATTAATATTTATTTACTGAAGCTCAGCCCCACGGAGACTTTAAAAGCTGTCCCACTTCTGTGGGTTCGTAGTGCTTAGCATACACATAGTTTGTTCTCGACAGAGGTCTGACAGAGGAAAAAATACTCTTAACTATCATGAAGAGCCTAAATTCCCAAACTCCTAAGAGCAAATAACCAGAGGGACACTGTCTCATCATTACATCCTCAGTTCCACAATGATAAAACTTTAACTGGGCTTTTAAAAAACGGTCATTATTCTGCAGTATTAAGAAATGTTTTCTCAACCAAATGCTTCACCTATTGGAATTTTTTCCAGATATCAGCAGGTAGAAATGATTTTCTTTCTCTTCTTTCCTTCCCTCCTCTCTCACTCTCACTTTCTTCTCTCCCCTTTTTCTTTTGTTGTTTAGAAGGAAAGTTGGCAAGCCATTTGGATACAGTCGCAACAAAATGTTTTGTCAAAAAGTTTGATTTTAATAGAACTGGAGGTATCTTAACACTAACCCAAAACTTCGGGAGGTTCACCAACCTCGAGAATATTTTTTTCTCCAAATGCAGGCTGTTCAAGTGGCGTGTTCCTCCATCTGTCATCACAGTGTGCTTGGAATTACATTGTCATATTTAATGTAAAAGGGATCAGTTCCCTTTTCTTCGTTTAAATTCAACATATTACTATGATTAGAAGACCAGCATTTTTCTAATTTATGCACCAAGCCAAACATCATACTTACATGTGTATTTAAACAAAGTTGTCTCTCAAAACTTAAAAATTCTTAAGAATTGCACAAATCTAAAGGCTTGAGCTGATCCCTGAAAATTTTACTAAAACTGAACTCGGGAACTTACTGTTAGATAACACAAAATACCTCTGTTTGAATTTTTCTCAGTGTGTATGTGTGTGTGTGTGTTTTCAATGTAGCAAAATACACAGTGCTTGCTACCTAAAATGTCTCCCTATAACTTAGGCTGAGCTAAATGCTTACTAAAGTTTTATGTGAAAATAATGATCGCAGATAATGTCTCAGGTCAAAAACAATGTGAACTGAAGCCATCACGGTATAAGCCTGATCGTAATCATGGCTTAAGTAGACACAGTGCCAAGCAATCTCATCTCGAACCTTTACACCTCCTTGGCTTTCAGGTTCTTTATTCGTTTCCCTTCCACCTTAACTTGGATCCTTGGCTCTATCTTATGTGGTGTTTGCTCACTGATAACGTCGGATTATTTCCCCAGATATATTTCCCAGCTTCACCAGCGCAACTTTTTTATTAAACATAGAATGAACAGTGAGCTAGGGGTGACATTTAAGAGAAAGATGTCACCTTGCTTACGTGCAGAGAGGGTCCCTCAGGACGGGAGCACTGTAATGAGGGGCTCTGTAATGTGTCAGTGATTCCCTGCCACACTTATCATTCACATGTCTCGGTGTTTTGCTTACCACATCTCCACTTTTCTTAATACGTCTGAAAGCTGTGTGTGAACTGAAAGACTAACAACTGTTTGGAAGCCTGTGGCAGAAATCTGTGGAATGAAATCGGTGCACCGGGCCATAATGAGATTAGGGGGTACCTGGTGAGGTGCAGTTGGCGCTGGGACTCACCCAGCAGCTGTGTCAGCTTCAGGCACTCCTCTCTGGCCTGCAGAGCCTTCTGCTGCTCCTGCTCCAAGTGCCGCCTGCTTCCCGTCACTTCTGATCTCAGTGTCTCGATTTCCTGAGGTACAGAGAAGAGGGAGAAGGCACCCATAGAAAATGTAGTCACTGGAAGTCAGAATTATCTCATTTTTATTTTTGCCATGAATGTTAATGTGATGAAAAATTATTAGAAAATTTAGGCTAGCTTCCATCTTCTGACAAAGGGAATTAACACAGCCAAAAATGCACATGAGTGAGGTATTTTTGGATCGTAAAATGAAGTCTAATTTTAAAAATGAAGTGATTAAATGAGAGCAGTCAAAATGGGTAATCTGCACTTTCAATACAGGGCTCAGCCCCATTAAAAATAAAATTAATTTAAAATTGCACTCCTTTGAAAATGCAACCTTTTTTTGTTTGTTTCTGAGATTAGATCACGCACAGTATAGTGAACTTATAACAAATGTGTGACTTTTATTCTGAAAGATATATTTATGGCTTAGTTTGGATGTTTTGAAAACTAAATAAAATAATTTGCAGTGTCTTAAAAATTTGAGGTGTAAAAGAAGACATCATTATGATGTTCTGAATTATCTTGGAAAGATAATTTAAGGGAAAAGATAGCATGAGAATTTTTAGGCATTTAGAATGCATTATTTCTGTGCTAAAATAATATATTTTTAAAAGGCTACAAAAGTACTCTAACATTAATCAATACAAATATCTAAAGTTTCTCAAAATTCATGATTATTTATTCTTTGGTCTCAGGATGAAATTATTCTTATCTTACTGGAATTCAAATATTTCAAAGTAAAAATACCTTGTATAGAAGATAATTTTAAATATTTTATACACCAAGTAGACATATTAAAATATGTAATTCTGATAATAGATAAAAATTTAACTATTAAAATAAGAAAAGAAAAAAGGGAAAAGTAGAAGTCAGAAAAACCTTCAAATTCAGCAGAAAGCAATAATCAATTTTAACACACAAAAAAACCAAACCCCCTTTTGGAAAACAAAATCATGTCTAAATAGACTATTTTATATTTAGTATTTAAGTATATTTCAAAATCTTCTCATGTAATTTTGAGTCATCCACTATATTTAACACATCAGGTAAGAGAAATAAAGTAATTCATTTTTCAACATTTACCACAATAAATTTTCAGTTAACTCCATTAAAACTATCTATTATACACAATAACAAAACTATAATAAAATAACTCATAATTTCTTGCACAGTGTTTATTTTTTAAAATGTATGCAATAATGATTGTATCATTTTCATTTGAAACAGATTTTCTGTATTTTTCAGATGAGAATACTAAATGGAAATAATTAGAAAAAAATTTTAAGCTACTAAAGTTATACCAATATGTTTCCAATCACATAATTAAAGTGTAATTAAAGAGCTGGAAAAACATAATGTAAAAGACCATTAAAACTTTTATTTACCCAACTCTTATGAAATCAACAAAATCAAATAAGCATACAATTGGAATTATATGTTGACTTTAAAACTTCAATAATTCATTATTTTCTATGCAGGTTTTTTTTAATGCAGTGTTACAGGCAAGAAACTACTAAATATTATTTAAATATAAAGTTTACATCGCTATATTTGGGAGTTAAGAATCCAACTGGGATATGAGACATGCAAACAGAAAAATACTATCAACGTGTAAAGGATATAAAAATAAAAAACACCAAATGCAGTTGCTAACCTCTGTGGCCCAGGTTTTAAATCTCAGTGGTGTCATCCCATTGGCCGGCACACAGGGAACTAACCCCTGTATGGTGCGACAGCCCTCTCCTGACCCTCCCGCTGCTCCCCTCAGCAGTGTATTTCAGTCGATCTGCCTGCTCTGCTCCCCACTCTGTCTCTGGCGAATCCTCTCATCCCCCACACCTCTGGCCTGTACCCCAATTCTGTAAGTATAACTAAATATTTAGAAAAAAAAAAACAGGTTAATGATTTCAGTTTTTAGCTTTTATAGTCACTTTTCCCTTTTGTTTTCTCTATATTCCTCCTATAAATGAAGCCATTCGATACTTTTACTTCCTGACTTATTGCACTGAGTATGATCCCTTCCAGCCTCATCCATATTACCGTGAATGTCATGGTAAATTAGTTAACCAGAGAGTGGCTGAGGGGAGACTACAGACGGCTGCCAGTAGCCCAGCTAGGAGGAGTCGGACACTGAGGAAAATAAAAGAGACATGGTAGGTGCATGGAAACAAAAGGAGAGATGCTGGAGTCAGCAAAGATGACTCCAGAACTTCGAATTGAGAAGACACAGAATGACATAGGTAGACATGGCGCGACAATTTTAGACACTAATATATAGTAAGTAGGTGTTAAATATACATCAACTACTTGCTTATTCTCATGTAGTGAAAAGTGAGGGTGCACTGGAAGACCACTAACCAAACCTAAAGGACAGAGAGGCCCAAGAGTCAACAGAAGTCAGGGTTTCAGACATAGCTCACTCCAGCTCTGTGACCTTGAGCATCTCATTCAACTGTGACCAATTTCCTTAGATTTAAGATGGGAGTGGGGCCCTCCCTGGTGGTGCAAGCGCAGCACTGTGAAGCTATCGCAGCCCTGCAGCACGAGTTCAATCCCCGGCCAGGGAGTGACCCACAGGGCACAGCGGACCTCTCCTGTCTCCCCGCTGCTCCCTCAGCAGAGTATTTCAGTAGACCTGCTACCTGTTCTGTTCCCCACCCTGTCTGGGGACACCTCTCAACCCAAGCGCCGCCGGCCTATACCCCAGTTCTTGTATGCATAAATCAATCTTAAAAAAATAAAACTATCATAAAACTTAAGTGAGGCGATGACTAGGTAGCAGATTGCCTAACGTATATTGAGACAGTAAGAGTTGCATAAAAGACAGGATCCTTTTAATTGCTGGGTTTTTTTTTCCCTCTTGCGTATGCTCAAGGTAAATAATAAATAGAAAAATACATGTGTGTGGATATAGTGCCATCAGTGGGCACTGGAGTTCCTGATAAGATTCAATAAAATACCCCCCGTATCATACCATTTTAGTGAAAACTGAATAAAGCTGTCTTATGATGTCAAATACAAAAAAGTATTTTTGTTAGGAGAGAAGGAAAACACTGCCTGCCTCTAATAACCTGTGCAGACAGAAGAGCTTACTGATGTAGATGATCAAAATCAACAAATCATCTAACCAGCTGGCCCAAGGTTCAACACTCAACTCCCTGAGTCAGAAAAATCTGCTATGGCACCAACCCCAACGGTTAGTATAGGCATCTCTTGCCAGAAAGGCCATATCACCCTGGCAGGGTAAATCTTTGCCTCACCCAACTAGGTCAGGGCTGCTTCTTTCACTCGAATGACAGACCGACAGCCAGGGGGTCAGCTGCACGTTGCTCCACATGACACAGTCAACTGGCGAAGTCTACAATGCAGCTTCCACAGTTCTTTTGGCGAACTGTGGAAAGAGAAGGCCAGATGCCTAAACACTTTACTAGTACTTCAAATCAGGCACTTGACCTTCAGAACTATAAATAGAGGCTGTTAGAGTAGCTATACCTCAGGAGAGTAGCAGAAAGGATGACCTAAGAGGAAGAGCGATCATTCCTGTTCACCTGTTAACTTTTTCCCCCTTACTTGCGGACATATGTTACCTTTTCTATTATTTATTAAATTTTCTAATCAGATTAATATGCTTAATGTAAGTTCTATAATACTAAACTGCTCATATCAAAGAAGGGTTTAGACTAGAAGATGTATCTTCCCCTTTCTTCTAGTTGAAGCCTTGAGGGCACTTACTTCTACTCTTCTGGAACATACTAAGAATGCTACCTCTTGATTTTGCAATATTAGGCATATTTTACTATTATGTTCTCTTCTGTTAGGTCTAATACCACCTACTCAACCTGCTGGACACCATGTAACAATTTTGGGCTAACCCCTTAGTAGCAATTGATTCCGTTGTATTCATTTTGTCCATAGTAAGTAATGAGTTTTGCACTTTTGTACTTAATTTTTTTTTAAAGATTTATTTATTTGTGCATACAGAACTGGGGTACAGGCCAGAGGCTCAGGGGCGGTGAGAGGCTTCACCAGAGACAGAGTGGGGAGCAGAACAGGCAGACTGATGAAGTCCACTGCTGAGGGGAACAGCGGGTGGGTCAGGAGAGGTCTGCTGCGCCATGTGGTCACCTCCCGGGCAGGCGGGCATCGAACTCATGCAGAAGTGGCTTTAGATTCTCAGTGCTGTGCTTTAACCCGCTGCGCCACCAGGGAGGGCCTGTACTTAATTTTTAACTGAAGCAATATTGGATTACCCCATCAGGTATTTCCCCCATAGTGCACACACCAGCAAATCACTTATATTCCACCACTACGAACCACTGTGCTCTCTCCCTTCTCTGTTCTCCCCTCTCCCCTCCCGTTCCTCACTCTTGGTGCTTCAACTCTGCAGTTAGCACTCCAGGGTTAGTTTTTCAATTTGTCTTTATCTAACTACTAACTTAGTTACTTTACATTCTACCACCTGCTATTTTAGTTTTCTCCTTCTTATTTCGCTTAGCATTATCCTTTCAAATGCCACAAGGGCATGGGTTTATCTTTTTGGATCACGGAGTGAGATTCCATTGTATATACAAACCACATTTTCTTAACCCCCTCTTCTGTTCTGGGGCACTCAGACTGTTTCCATAGCTTAGCTTTAGTACCCAGCACTGCCATAAACATGGGAGTGCAAATTTCTGTAAGAATTAGTGTTTTGAAATTTTGGGGGAGATGCCTAGGATTGGAATTTCTGGGTCAACGGCAGAGCCATAGTTCATGTTTGAGACACCTCCAGACTGCTTTCGTTCGGGGCAGGAGCAGCCTGTGTTCTGATGGGCAGTGGGGCAGGCCCCCTTTTCTCCATAACCACGCCAGGACTTGCTGTTTCTGGTCTTGTTGACATAAACCATTCTCACAGGAATAAGATGGTATTTCACTGTGGGCCTTCATTTGCATTTCTCTAATGGTAGGTAACTGTGAGCATTTTTTCACGTGTCTGCTGGCCATTTTATTCATTGTGATAATTATGG